TCTCTCATCCAGCCCATCCGCTTATTCTCTTTCAAATTCATGGCATCCTTTTCATTTATTACCAATATAGATATATAGATAAATGATAGATTAGACAGACAGATGGATAGACAGATAGATACATAGATAGATAGATAGATAGATAGATAGATAGATAGATAGATAGATAGATAGATAGATAGATAGATAGATGGATAGATATAGATGACAGATAAATTCCTAAATTCAAAAATACAACCTGCTCAGACCTTTATAGGCTACAGTATACATTACAATGATATGTTACAGTCAGTTAATGTTACAGTGTACATACTTTTTTCAGCCAATACAAATGGTTGACCATTTGGTATTGAGTAACCATTAGTGTACTCTTCCCTGGAGAAGACCATTTCTCCCAATCTCAGCATTCCTTGGTTGCCTGGAGTTCTTTGTCTAGGGTGGAGGCCTTGTGAGCTTTGGCTCTTCCATGTTAGTATATCTATTGGTGGTGTGCTAGTTCAGGTTGTGCACAGGCAGCCTTATTGGTGAGGCTTTACAACTTAACACTTCTGACATTTCTAAGAGACAGACTATCACAGCAAACTCTCTGTTCCACTGGCTCTTTTAATGTTAAGCTAATCCCCAAGTAATTCAAGTTTTTAAAATTAATTGAATGGGTGTTGTAAAACTTCTGCTCTCTTTATAGATGGCATCCCAAAGACACCACACGTGGTTTAAAGAATAAACAGATTTACCTGAATCACTGACAACCATAATCCTAACTGTGCATGTGGTCCACTAGATCTAGCTTAGTCTTGTTCCTCCTAAAATCATGTAGAGAATCATCTAAACACTTTTTTTGTTGTTGTTTTGTTTTTTGAGACAGGGTTTCTCTGTGTAGCCCTGGCTGTCCTGGAACTCACTATGTAGACCAAGCTGGCCCCGAACTCAGAGATCTGCCTGCCTCTGCCTAAAGGCATGTACCACCACTGACCAGCTTCATCTAAACAAAACACTTAACAGGATCGAACATAGCCAGAAACTGACCGCATACAACTTCCTAGACTGTTGGCCTTCAGCACTTATTTCAAACAATAAACAATATAAAACACACCCTTCACTTCTGGTTTAAGTTTGCTTCATTTGTGTGAAATGATAAATGTCCATATTAGTTATATAATAGCCTCTTCCTTTCTCATAGGTCAACTAAGTTTGGAATCACTGCCATGCCTCCATGTGTACCTTCAAGATCACAATCTTCAGAAGAACTGTATTAATACCTTTGCAGCTTTAGAGCTAGGGATCTTTCCTAACAGCATTTTTATAAACCAACTCTATCTAAGCGCCCTCCCCAACACACACACACACACACACACACACACACACACACACACACACACATACACACACACACCCATAAGATACTGAATCATACATAACAAAGACCAAGCTAGGCTACTCAGACTGCCCCCACACCACAATCTCTGGTCACACCTTCATTCCCTCCTACCTTTCCCTGTGTCTTGAGGTCAAATTGCCCCTGCTTAAGGGGTAATCTGTTATCAGACCTACTTCTGTCTTTTGGACTTAAAATTTTATCTTGTTTTCCTTGGGTATCTATCCTTTTGTTCATTCCAAAATGTCAGGGGCATGTTTACCATGTAGCTTTTTATTGTCCTCCATCTCCAAGCCTTGAAAACAATGTATCTCAAAACAGCAACAATCTTAAAAAGCTGGATCTTAATTTCAGTGGAGAATTTACTATTTACTTCTATCTTGGTCTTGAGCTACTCTAGCATATTCCATTCTCTAACACTGTGGAGGAAAACATTCTACTGGAAGGAAACCTCAGATCTATGATGTCTACCTCTGTTAATGCAGCTGAGAAAACTAATTCTTTGGGATGTATCCTTGTTGGCAAGAGTCCACATGTGTAATTTGGGAATTCAGACCCCGAGTCCCCTTCTTGAACAAGAATTTCTCAAAGCACAAACTTTAAATATGGTTGTCAGTTATTGATCATCCTGATATTGTCTATATTAACTAATACAGAAATAAAGGCAATTTAGAAAATGAAGGCACTTTATTCCGTCACTCCTCTATTATGCTTAAGTTGTCTCAAATTTAGAATTTGTAATTTGGAGAGTATAAAAAGTAACATTGGAGTCCTTCTCCTTCTAACATCTCAGTCTCTTAAGTTTCATCATTCCACTCCTAATGAGAGAAGGGAAACTGCTTCAAATAAAACTGGAGAGGGTTTCCAAATACTGAAATGAAATCCACTGCCATGTTACTAAAACCATGATAGTGGGTCTGATAAGACAGCTCAGTCAGTGAAGTATGTTCCCAGAGAGCATAAAGCCCTGAGCCTGCACCCCATCTCCTATGTAGACAGCTGGGGAGCTGGAGGAGGAGAAAACATATGTGTCAGCACACACTTCTTTCTCAGTATGGGGGGGGGGGGAATCACAGACAGATCCCTAGGGTTCAATGCTGGCCAGCACAGCTGAGTCAGCAAGCCTCAGGCAAAACTCAGAGACTATCTCAAAAGACAATGTGGAAAATGAACCAAGGAAAGCTCCAAATTTATATACACACACGTGCACATATGTACTTGTGCACCTGTACAAACAGGTAGACCTGTACGTGCACACAACCAAAAGACACAAAGAAGAAACTTGAGGTGAAAGAAGTCAACCAGAAAGTACTACAGGAGGAGGGCTAAGACAGCACAATGTGTAGAGCACTGTTGCATGAGCCTGGTGACAAGAGCCCAATGCTTGGAACTCAGAGAAGGTGGAAGGAGAGAACCGACTCTGTAAAGCTATCCTCTGACCTCTGTGTGTGCACAGTGGATCACAGATCCTCCAGATTCTCTCTCTCTCCTTCTCTCTCTCTCTCTATCTTTCTCTCTCTCTCTCACACACACACACAAAATTTTAAAGAAAGTGTTAAATGATATATGATATCATTTCCAATTTTATGCTAGTTTGTAAAACGGTGAAATTATTGAGATACAAAAAGATAAGTTGCCACAGGAACTAGGAAAGAAGGACATTAAATGGAGCAGAGGGACATTTTTACACAATGGGACTATTTTTGATACCATGCTGGTAGACACATGCCATATGTATTTGTCAAAACCTGTATACTGTGCAAGACCAAGAGTGAACCCTAGAGAAAACTATTAACTCCTGGTGAGAGTGAGGTAGCAATGCAGGCTAATCAATTATGACTAATGTACAGCTCTGATGGGGAACATTAATATTGGAGAAGGTATGTCTGTGAATATGACAGAAGTCATATTATAAAAGTCCTGCATCTTCTGCTACGTTTTGCTGTGAGCCGAATATCACACTACAGAATAATATCCTTTGTGAAAGGAAGATTTCTCAATTGCATAGACCAAGTGGACTTAATGGTACCTCGCACTTTGCTGGACTTGCGATCTGCACCACTCTAGGCTATTAGCAAAAAAACCAAAGAAGACAAAGAAACACATTAGAATAAACTAACTGGAAAAACAAACAAACAAAAAATGAAGGTCTCTGAGTGACTCCTAATTTAGTCGCTATTTCCTTGTCTTTCTTTTAATCTTTATTGTAGGCCTTTTGTAGTTTTTGCCACAGTCTCAATATGTGTATCTGAAAACAAGAAAGGGCAAAGCATAGTTGTTGTTGTTTTGTTTTGTTTTCAGAATTCTACTTTAATCCCCAGTTTTGTTGTTGTTACTATTTGCTTGCTTGTTTGTTTTGCCAAATCTTAGTGTCACTAAGTAAGCAATTGTTATGCTGTAATTCCAGCAGAGGCAGGGGTATCTCTGAGTTCAAAGCTAGCCTGGTCTACAGAGCAGTTCCAGGATATCCAGGACTGCACAGAGAAACCCTTTCTCAGAGAGAGAAAAAAAAAGTTACTGAAGGTTCACAAATCAGACAGGAATGAGGGACCAACTGAGCTAGGAACACTCTAAGATTGCGTTGACTCAATAGCTGGGATCTGTAATCAGAGAGAGGCATATTCTTCCACATGTCCAGAAGTAGACATCAGCTATGGGAGCGAACCTCAGCTGGACAATGGGTTAAATGTGTGGGTACTCCTTACTTTCTCTGCCTGGATTAGCCTGGGCATCCTCACAGTACGATGGCTGTATCCACAGAGATGGCGCCAGAAGAAAAGCAGAAAAATAAATGACTCTTGATGAGCTATTTTTGAAATAACATAGCATGCTTGCTGCAAGACTCACATATGCCACAGAGCCTCTACCCATGTTTGAGAGGAAATGATGGACAAAGATCCAAACCATGGGATGGGAAGAGAACCAGTGTTACTTTGTAAGGACCTGTGAAATATGCAATATGATTGAGCCATTTAAAAAAAAAAAAAAAAAAACACATCTGCCATGGTAATTCTTGTTGTATCTTACTGGGTCTTTCACTTCACTATCTTAGTATACAATGCATTTGAGTGATTGGTTAAACTTGGTTCCACACCTAACTTCTTATTGCTTTAGATTAATAAGCCACACGGTCAGATGGCAAGCGTAGCAAGGTTGAATTAATTTGCATGATACAACCACAGTACTCTGGACTGGACTTATCATAAGAATAGATAATATTAGTAGTAGTGTTACAACTGTGGACAATACATGGAATTGATGATTGTTTTTATATTAGGACAATTGGATTGCATTCAAAGAAGTTCCGATATTAACCAAAATGCCATATGCCATCTTTGATGTGCAAGAGAAGTTTTATTCATCCAATTAGGTCTTTGTTGCTTGAGAAAGGTACCTAATCTCTTCTGTGAAGTATAGAGACTATTGTAAAGCCATAACTGAATCTCACAGTTGAAGAAGGAAAATCACGACCTTGAAGAAACTATTTTTTCTCCTCTTTCCTCATTAGTCAGTTTTAGTTTATTTGATTATTTGAAAGTTTATATTAGTACTTTGTGGGGACGTTGCTCATTCATTTCTACTACTTCTGTAAAGTTAACTAACAAGTGATATTGTCCCTTTTCAGTTGATTTCATAGGTGGCTTTGACTCTTATGGATATCAAGGACCTCAGAAGACATCTCACTTACAACTACAACCAATGTACATGTAAGTACTTGACCTGGAAGGTATTTTTCTGGGGGTATGAAAAGGTAGTCAGGTAAATATATCATGGCACCAAAAAAAATGCATGCAATTTTCCCTTGGCTGTGTATTTCTATTTTCTACTATTAATATTGTTTTGACTAGGGTGATTCTAAAAGCATTTCTTGTGGTTTAAAAAAAATGACTTATCAAAAAGCCAATCTTTAAAGTTTTATTTAGTCTTATGTAAGTATCATCGACATGGCTCAAAAGCCTCCAGTATATAACAACTCTTTGAGTTACTTTAAATGTCTATATTTTGAAAATATTCTCTAACAGTTTAGGTAGTTATATGCAACTATATAAAGCTTACTCTCTGGCTGCCCCAGGATAGTCCTAGTTGATGCTAGTCGTAGTCATATCATTGTTTTCAGCCCTTCATAATAGTCTTGAGTGTTCACTTAAATGATAAATGCTAGTTCACCCTAGTGATAGATACATATTCAAAAAAAAAAAAAACCCAAAAAAACAAAACTCAAACTCTGAGCCATACTTTATCAAGGTGAAAGTCAAAATGAAACAAAACCATTAGAACTGAAACTGATCAGACCCTTAACTGTAGCACTCAAGAGCACAGACAAGCAATCAGAGCCTGATTTTTATATCTGTGTTTAGGCAAATTCCCTTGGATAACAACTGATAGCAAAAATTCTATATCTCAGCATCAAGTGATATGCTGAATTGCAAGAGAAGATCAAAATAGAAAGTAAGCTTTCAATTCATTTTAAAATGTGAGCTTCTCTCTGAAGATCTGTGTTTGTTGTCATTGTCCTCCACCATTAAATCATTTACCTCTCCATACCTCCAGCATGCAGGATAATGAATGGAGTTTTGGGGTATTTCTACTCCAAACAGATTAATCTTTAGACACTTCTCATTACTTTCTCTTTTAAAAGAGAATGATGTATGCATTGTGTTTGCCTTTTGCTATGTGCCCCTTGTAGTTTTCTGCAAGTGTTTGAATAGCATCACTCATAATAAAAAATAAAAGATTCTATCTATTCAAGAATTAAGCAAAACTACATGCCATTCAAAGCATTGCCTCTATAAACAGTGAGTCACACATCCTTCCTTTACGTTCAAAATCACTGCCTTTTTCAAGCATCCATGATCAACCACTGAGTTTTCTAGTTTCATTATTTCAGAACATTTATCCCATCTTACAGATGACTGCCAAATTAATATCTCTAAAGTCTTTACTCATATTTTCACTTTCCTTTCCAAAAGTTATCAAGGATTCCCTGAGTTCCTCACCAAGCCTTACAAGAGTATGTTGACCTGGGCACAGTGTTTTCTTGAAAGACCCTGTCTTCCACTCATAATAACCTTTGTGCCTTAGCTATAAGCAAGTGATGTTATACAGTTCTAGGAACACACAATGCTGGAAGAGACTAAGACCTACTCAATAGAGCATAAATACTCTAGGAGCTTCCCTTGGCCACTTTTTTCCAACAAAACTTCAGTTTTGTGTTCTCCAAAGATGACACATTTTTCCCAATCCTTATGTTTTTTTTTCCTTTGAATGAGTATATTGTAATCACACATATTGTTTCCAGCTAAGCATTTATAATCCTAATGTTCATCTTTAGACAAGAATTTTTAAAAGATATCTTGGTTAAGAATTAAATTCCCTAAGAACAAAACTTTCCTTAATTTTCTTAAACAGAAACCTTTACACACCAAATAAGCATAATCAGATTTTGTTTTGTCCATCATTGCTCATGAAACACTAACATTTGAGAAGAGTAGCACCTAGGATGTTAGTGATACTTAAGGTACATGAAAAATTATTAATCAAAAATCTGCCTTCACCTCTTCCATAAAACATCCCATAAAAAAAAAAAAAAAAAAAAAAAACTTAAGATCACAAAACTCTGTGATTTTGTTTAGGAAACAGAATCATGAGACAGGAAAACAAACCTCACCCAGCTTGTTAGGGATGCAACTGAGAGCATCATTTCTTTTTCCTGACCCTTGCCTGATGTTCTCTTCAGTTTCTTAAATGAACTGTGAGACCAGCCTGACATTGCCTTCCCTGGTTTCATTTTACTTGACTACACAGCTATTTTGGCTGTCACATTTCCATACATGCCCCTCCCTATCCCTATCTCCCTTATCTCCTTTTGATCTTACACTGTTCAGTGTTGAGTGAGGAGCTTTACAGCTCTGCAACCCTCCAAATCCATCCTTTGAAAGCCTCTGCCTAGTGGGATCCTGTGAAAAATCAAACCTGATTCACCTACAAGCCTCATCCCTGTTGAGAGGCACAGCCCTGAGCACCTTCTCTGTCTTTGTCATTTGGAGTATACCTTTTCCTGTCAACTCACCATAAATATGTCTTGTAAAGTAAGAGTAGTAAGAGTAATTTAATAACATGGGCCAGTTCAAGCATCCTAGCAATATTATATAGCCACTGGAAATAAAAGCTGTTCTTTTGAAAGAAAGTAAATGCTAAAAAGCAATGTGCAGTTTTAGCTATGGGGTTTCTACCACATCCAACAGATCTGTAACCTGGCTCCTCCACAAAGTAATGAATTCACTGCCAGCAGGGCCACCACAGCCACAGCCAATGAATATACTGTCCTCTTTATTGGTAGTTCAGTTATGTGTGTGTGTGTTCTTAGTTTATAATTCTTCAGATATGTAACCACATAAAAGGAAGGTTCTTTTTCTCTCTCTGCCCACAGTTTGCCACATATGTATATATAAAGTAAATTGAGAGAGATCAGAAATTCTCATGTCATCTCATTAACTTTCTAACAAAGTAATTGGTTGGTTTTGTTTTGTTTCTGTGTGCGTTGGCACATATAGACACGATGATGCCCCTTCCTGATACAAATATCCTGTGTTGTACTAGACATCGTGCAAAAACACTGCATCATTTCTGCAGCTGGCGGCAGTGCGTGCTCATTTCATCTGTCCTATGAATGATCATAAATGGCCCCTGTGGGTGACAGGGCACTGAGTGATTAAAGGGAGGCAAAAACGCTTTTAAAGCCCAGTTTGAGATTCCTCTTCCCCCAATGTTTTTTTTTTTTTCTTTTTCCTGTTTGCTCTTATGCTCAGAGAACGGTGAGGGGCAACAGGCACCTAGCATTCTCTCTTGACTAACAGCACCTTTTCTCTCTCTTAGGTCAAAATAACACGGATGACTTCTGTCTTCCAACCCATGGACTTCTCAAATGAATTGTGCAGTGGCCTCCTGCTTTTTCATGAAGAGTGAGAAGCAAATGCATTTAAATACGTATACATATTATCAGACCAAACAGGAAATTTCTACATAGACACGTGTGTGAAAACACACACACACACACACACACACACACACACGCCACTGTCACTATCAGGCACACATCAATTCCACTGGACCTCCTCTTTCTGACTGAAACTGATAAACACGCAGGGCACGCCCACCCTGGATTTCCTTAATGCAGGCTCCCTTCTTCCCGGCCTTTGAAGGTGGGAAAGGAGACACATGGGTGTCCTCTACAGGCCGTTACTTACTCCTCCGCAGCCCAGCCAGTTGGCTCTGGGAGGTTCCAAGTTAACCCAGGCACACTAGTTTGGAACCCTGTTTTCTGCAGTCCAGACCATACATCTTGATAGCACCACAGCTGCTTAGGCAACGTAATTGCAAAAACTGACAGACAGAACATGCTGTGATGACTTAGTACCAAATGCAAAATGGCAGGTCGTTTGCCCTAAAGGCTATACCGTACATACTTGCCTTAACCCACCTACGTTGTGTGCCCAAGACTCCCAGTGCAGACGCCCTCCAGTCACTTCCTTTAGGCTAACACACTGCTATTAATTACAAACAATTTTGACTCTGTCTCTTGTCGAGGAACAAGACTGAACCGCTCAGCAGCTCCTGTGTGTCTGTGTAAGAAAATGATGTTTTACCACTGAGCCTCGTGATGGCCGCAGAGATAGGAACCAACAGCAACAATAACTGTCATCATCATGTCTCTGAACCGTGGTCTTCTGATGTAGTAGGGGTGGAATGAAGTGAAATGTATTAATCTCCTAAACTCATTACTCTACTGAAAGCAGAAATGGCTTAACTGGTTGGTTTTATTTCTTGCACTCTACGTGCTTTTCTAGGTACCTACAAACGGCATTTCCTAACACAGGAAACAGCTGTGGATTTCTATGACAGAGGCCAACTGACTATGTATTAGCTATGTTTACTCTTTTATATCTAATTCAAATCTAAGACCCAATGTAGGTGAACTTTTTTTTTTCTAACTTCAGCGTACAAGATTATTTTTGGGGTGGGGGGGCAATAGTTACTTAGTGAAAACTTTGAGATATCTTTGTGGTATTTGGGGGGATCTGTTGTGTGTTAGAGTGTATTCCAATCCTCCTGTATTATTGTGGCAGAAAAAAAAAAAACAAACAAACCTGTGCTGTTGAAGTAGTTGGCAATGAGATGCCTTTGGGGACAATAGTAGGTCAGTGTGTTTATGGGGTATTCTGAACTCCTAGGAAATTTAGTTCTATATTTTCAAGCATTGTTTGGTTTTCATTAGTGAAAAATATAATTAGCTCAAGCTTATCAGTAACACAGATGAGTCATGTTTTTTCTTGGATCCACTTGAGATGCTAAAATCAAGTTTCCTTTAACACATCATCTTGACACACGGTGAAATTCAGACTGAGAAGTTAGACACTGGCATAGACCAACTCTTTTTCTTTTCGTACTTCCAGTTTTGTTTATTGGGTTAACCCTTTTTGCATCTTAACCCATTCAGGTCTCCATAAGACAGGCCAGTTGCTGTCTTGGCATAGACATTTGTAATAAATCACCATATCCCTATTTAAAACCTATGAAGGAACCGAAAACGACCACTGGAGTAGAAACCACATGCACAAAAAGATTGCAGCACTCACACTTGAGTTTTCCCAGTGGCTTGTACCTACATGTATAAAATGAACAGTTGCAAACATCCGTCAGCGAAACCTCATCTGGTGTTTTTTATAGTGATATGCATGTTTAATGTTGGAGGGGAACTAGTCACCAATGTACTGTCCTTTTATTCCTAAAATATAAATATTATACATGCCGGAAACTATTCTAATGTGACTATTAAAATGAGGTTTCATTGCATTGCTTCTGTGATGGGGTTTCACCTTGTAGTACATGTGTAGGGAGGGAGTAAAACGAGCCGCCGTGTTTCTTTTTTTTTTAAGTTGCAGCCGACTCTCCACCAAGCTTCATATCATCACCACCGGGCCTTTTTAGTGAGCACAGTAGTGTGGTTCTATCTGGGAAACATCAAAGATGAACAGCTGTACCCTCCTCAAAATCTGGTGAAGAATGCTATTTTTCTAGGCTGAGCTTTTGTTATAAACCTAATATTCTGAAAGCAAGAGTTAACAATCCTGATCTGTCTTTTCTTTTCCCCTCCCTGCATTTGTTAATTCTGAATGTATTTTTAACAGAGTGATTTTTTTGACTTACTAGTGTAATTTGCATTTTAAAAAATAAATGGAAAAAAAAAAACGGTTACGTTTCTGAGCTGTCCCTGAAAGTCCCTGCTGCTTCTCATGGTGTGTCTGTCTGGTTCTGTCACGGACGAGGAAACCGGAGTTGGCTTGCATGAGGCTGTTACTGATGTCCTATGCAATACAAGGAGTGGTGAGCCGTGAGAGAGAAAGGCCAGCCCTGGCACTGTTCTAGCTCAGCTATGGGCAACACCCATAGCTTCTTCCAGCCCTGACCTCCTCCTCTAGACCGTGCAACAGGCTTGCCGTACCCTGAGGAACAATGTTCCTTCCTTCCGTGATTTTTACCTCTAAAGGGCACCAGATTAAAATCATTCGGTTCGGGTCTGAAAAGATGGCTCAGCAGTTAAGATCGTTTGAAGCTCTCTCAGGGGTCGGGAAGGTGACTCCCATCGCTCACGAGCCTTGTAACTCCACTGCAGGCAATTCCTCGCCCCTCTTCCGCCCTTTGCAGGCACTAGGCACCAACGTGGTGTTCAGACATACATGAGAGCAAAACGCCCACGCCCGTGAAATAAAGTGATCGTTTTTGTAAATCATCTGGTTAATTCACAGGGTGGGATTTTCAATTTTATAAAAAATATTTGTGCGCGTGTTTGTGAGTGCACACGTACCTGTGTGGGAGGGGTGCGTGTGCACGTGTAGGTACCTGTATGCGGAGGTCAAAGGTCAGCCCTCAGGAACTACCCTCTTTGTTTAATGAGACAAGGTCTCCCACTTAGACCTGAGGGTTACCAATTAGGCTAGCCTGGGCTAGGCTGGCTGGCTGGTGCACCCCAGATATCCACCTAGTTCTGCTTCACCAGTACTGAGATTATAAAAATATTGGTGCTGGAGCTCAGTTCCCCATGCTTACATGGCAACGTTTTACCCAACAGAGCAATCGCCCAGGCTCCCATTCTATTTTAAATAAAATAATTTAAAGACCTATTGACTGTCCCTGTTGTGAATGCTGTTGTGAATGCTGTTAGAACATGGGTGTTCACTTCAGCACTAGACAACTGTATGGGAACAGCTTGGGGTAAAGGAGGCGAACAGAAAAGACTAACCCCTGGTGATTGATTGCCCTTAACTACAGCTGAGGCTCACTGGAGGCTTGGAAAGGCGGACCATAGCTGGCCAGGCTGACTGGGCTCAGGCTGCTGCCCCTCCTCCCACTGTGCGTGGACTACCAGCTGCCACAAATCAAAACCCAATCCTGCGAGCGGAAGCCTCAGACACCGCTGCATACCAAGAAGCTGGAGTCCGACTTTCCGTGCTTGGTTTCTTGGCCACATGGTGAGAACAGAATGTCCAGGTGGAGTTCACCCGAGCCTGTGAGGAAGACTTTCAGGGCGGTCCTTCACTGACCGTGAGGTCGGAGGTACACAGCATCTCTGTTGCATCCAAAAGGAAACGAACAGATCAACCACACAAAGACATGTGCCCCAAGGAAAACGTTCTCCTGGAAGTCTCACGTAAATAAGTTATACGATTTGTAAACAGCAAACATAACTAAGGCTATATTTGGTAAGTATTTAAAACATAGGTACAGTGAGGCATGTCTCCAGCATTCCAAGCTGATGTGATGAGTGTAGCATTTCAATAGTTTCACATTTAGAATCTGAAACCTAGACCCGTTCATTATAGAGACAAATAAAATATTTAACATTACTGTACACTCACTCTGGAAATGTAAATAATCCCCCATTCCACACTCTGGTCAGCATACAAACTCCAGACACTATCAACTGACCCCAGATTGTGTAAATTCTTTTGATAAGGAAGCCCCTAAGACAGTGCTAAATCATAAAATGCTTCTGAACCATTGTATATTAGTTTTGATTTAGTTTTCATATTAAAACATATTTTATTCTATTATAATTCTGTCAAAAACCAATAACCCATACTCAGATGTAAACATGGATATATGACATGTCCTTCTGTATTACCTTACCAATTATATTCAGTTTTATGGTAATATTTCCAATGGTGGCATTTGTCATACACTTATGAATAAGTAAAGTAGAGAGATGAAGACTACTTAAGCATGGCTGATTCTCTCATTTTATTATATATGCCTTCTTCCTAGTTCTAAGAAAGAAAATAACTCTGTGATCACTATGTGTTATCCAATTTAAAAGATGTTAGTACACTAAAACATCATTTTTTGATGGCTATGAAGGAAAACTATCTCAAACAGTTGTGTATTCTCTCCCATTTAACTTAGTAAGAAATTAAACACAATAATATATGCCAAGATAGTATTTATTGCTAAAATCTCCTAAAACTTTCTGAGATTTGACAGCAAGTAAAAACAATGAAAATGAAAGAAAGTTATTCCTAAAACAGATAAAGGCAGGTAAATTTTGTATTCTATAGAATTATAATGGCATCACTTTTTAATCATTAAAGATTAGAAGTAATGAACTTAAGGTTTGGAAGAATAACGTAAGGTTATATATATATATATATATATATATATATATATATATATATGATAAATTCATAGAGGATTCTACATGCTGATTCTCTCATTCTAAATCATTATTAAAATTAATGTAAATCTTTTCTATATGAGATTTCCTTAATCATATGGCACCTTAATATTAAAGTAAGTATTTTGGTGAATGTTCATTGTGCCCTTGTGTGAATTTAAACTGTAGCAACAATGGAATAAAACAGCTCCCAAAAAGATTACAAATTGATGCTGTCACTTGAAGCATGATGGATTGATTCAATTAATCAGTCAGTGTTTCCTAAGAGTCCTTCAGGGAGTTACTTAGCAGAGGCATACCCTGTTTATTCCCTTCCAGGGGCCTGTCATTTTTCTTCATTATTCTTCTAGTTTTACTCATTATATCTTTGGAGGGATACGCTGATCTCCATGTGCAAAAGGTTTTGTACACAGCTGTCCAGACATAAATCTTCCAAGCTTCAAACTAGAGGCTGCCAAAACACCTGAGCCTCATGTCATTGTTCTATCAGTATGACCAAGATGCTCACAGGATGAAGTGAGCATCTTACCAAACAAAGAAATGGATGCTGACTTAAGAAATGGTCAGTCAATGAGAAAGGAACCAATTGATGGAGGGTTGTGAAATATTTCATTCATAAAAATAGTTACATTGTCCATGTGTTCCACATATGTGGAACTGGTCCTCAACCCCAAAAGCACATAGGTAGAGGTAAAAGAATTGGGAGTCTGGGACTCATGCTAAATACTCACAATAAGACTAAAAACATTCAGTGATTATGTTGCTTTGGCTAATGACAGATAAATAAATATTCTTAAATATGAAATATTTCTACTGTTAATGCATCAAACCATTTGCTTTTTTAAGCTGTAAATGTGGGGCTGTAAACGTAGCTCATCTAGTTAAAGTACTTGCCTAAAACATATGGCTAGAATACGTGAGGCTCTGGGTTTCATTCTTAACATCACATAGAATTAGATATCATACACACAAATGCAATCATTGCATTCAAGAGGCAAAAGCAGGTGGATTAGAAGGATAGGGTCATGCTTAAATATACTTTAAGTTTGAGGCTAGCCTGGACTACATGGGACCCTGCCCCCCCCCAAAAAAATATTTTTTATTTGAAGAGTACCACACAGTAATATAGGACAAACATACTAAAATCTATACTCCTGAAGAAGCTAAACAAAAAGGAGGACCCTAGGGTACTTGCTCAGTCCTCACTCAGAAAGCAAGTGAGATAGACATCAAAAGCAGGAGGAAACAGGGAACGGGACAGGAGCCTACCACAAAGGGCCTCTGAAAGACTCTACCCAGCAGGGTATCAAAGCAGATGCTGAGACTCAGAGCCAAACTTTGGGCAGAGTTCAGGGAAACTTATGAAATAAGGGGGAGACAGTAGGACCTGGAGAGGACAGGAGCTCCACAAGGAGAGCAACAGAACCAAAACATCTGGGCCCAGGTGTCTTTGCAAAGACCAATACTCCAACCATGGACCATGCATAGAGATAACCTAGACCCCTTGCTCAGAAGTAACCCATGGCAGCTCAGCCTACAAGTGGATAATAAGGGGAACAGGGGCTGTCTCTGACATGAACTCAGTGGCTGGCTCTTTGATCCCTGATGGGGGAGTGCAGCTGTACCAGGCCACAGAGAAAGACAAAGCAGCCAGTTCTGATGAGACCTGATAGGCTAGGGTCAGAGCGAAGGGGAGGACGACCAACCCTATTTGTGGACTGGGGGAGGGGCATGGGAGGAGAAAAAGGAGAGAGGGTGGGAATGGGAGGGAATGAGGGAGGGGGCTACAGCTGGGATACAAAGTAAATAAATTGTAATAATAAAAAAATTAATTTAAAAAATAAGTAACTAAAAGAGTGCCGTACACAAACAGGCTGGAATGGTTAGTACTACGAATAGTAAAGATAATAAGAATTGGAAGGATCAGGGCTAGAGAGATGGCTTAGTGGTTAAGAGCACTAGCTGCCCTTCCAGAGGACCCTGGTTCAACTCCCAGTATCCACATGGCAGCTCACAACTGTCTGGTGGTCTGTAACTCAAATTCTAGTGGATCCGACTCACTTTCACACAGATATATATTTATGCCAAACCATCAAATGTACATTAAATAATAAATAAAAGAATTGCAAAGATGAACAGAAAAGAACCAAATACCTTTTAGTAAGACTCTAAGTTACTTAGACTTTATGGAAGTATTTTAATTAAAATGGAGCAATCTAATTTCTGAGTATATACACAATAAAAATGAAATATATATGCAAAGAGATTTTTGGATTATATACATGAGCTCATCATTCTCAATATAGAATCAACCTATATGTTCATCAATAGATAAATGCACAAAGAAAATAGGACATATGTAACAATGGAATAATATTCAACCTTTAAAATGATGAAGTCTGTCATTTATAACAGAGTGGATGGATCTGGAAGACAGTTTTGTTCATTCAAATAAGCAAGATACAAAAAGAGAGAATGAGTAGAATGAAAAAATGGAAGTGTTGGCTAAAG